GACCGTGCGTGTCGAAAAACTCTTTTCTCGTGGATAATCGGCCGTAAAAACCGAGCCAGTGAACATAAATTCTCAATGTGTACCCCCGTCGGGCGGCTCTCGTGTCTCGTGAAAGTGGCCCCTCGCGAATCGCCTTCTTCATGCCCGATTTTTTCCTGCAAGAACAGTCTGCGCGCCGAGAAGTGTCAATTGACGTTTAATGCGTGCGTTTAGAGATTAGATGAAGAGGAGCAGTGTGTACCGATTGTTGCGCGTATTTTGTGTTAAAGACGATTTCCGGACTTGTCAACGATAACTTGTGACCTCGCAAGTGCGAATCACTGGCGAAACCGAGCAACAAGTGGTCTTTCAGTATCGAGGGATGGGAAGAGCTTGCAGTCAATTTTAAACCACACTTCGTCGACGTGTGCTACCTATCGTGCGTATCCACCGCGGGGAAATGAACCGGTCGGCAGTCAAAGTTCAAAGGGCAAGTATAATAATGAACGTTCGCCACAACTCCAGCGTTAAACGAGTATCATACTCTGTGTTAAACGAATGCAAACAAACGATTTGACAGCGTACGCGTTTCAAAGTTTCAATGTATGCAACATTTTTTCTGCCCACTGGAAAATTCCACATAAGCAGAGTGTTATTATCAAGCTAACGCGAAACAAGAAACTGAGTTTTATTTATTACGATTAACGTTGTATAGTTGTCAGAGATGTGTAGTATTCGTAACTATTATTTCGTAATGTCACTTCTATTCTGCTCCTTCTATTTAAGTTAAAATTCATTTTATTTAGATGCGCGTACTTATGTTCGGTTACATTCGGGAAAATCGTTCTGGACACTGAATAATCTAACAGCCATAGTTCGATGAGTAACGCTGTATATACTGAGAACTGATCTATTCGAATAACGTGCATAATGGATGTGGAACGTAGACGTAATTATATCAAGGATAATGGGCATAGAGCATCGAAGTATACTCTCACTCCTGATATAGGAATAATTAGGAAGCACACGTATAGTACTTTCTATCACCTAATTTGTATGGATTCTGATAAAAAGGAGTATCTGATGTTTCATTGTGACACAATACATCGCACGGTATCATAAATATATCAAACCTGTGCGGTTTTAAACTGGATCGTGTTGCGCGGGAAATATGAAAAATAGATTCCGACATCAGTTTTATGACAGAAGCGTAACTGGAATTATACGTACATTTTATCTTTCTTAAGTTTGCAGGGAATAAAAATCAAATATTCTAGAAAACGGTAGATCTTTTAAAAAATCTCAAGCTTCAAAATTATTTTTATCACATCCTTCTCTTCAAATTTTTAACTATAAAGCTATATAAAGCAATTATTTTGTTTCAAATCGACCACTCTGTAGGTATCACTATACCACCACATAGTTTTCTAGTTTTTACGCCTTACTTCACACTATGCATCATATATCATACCTCGCACACCGCGTAAAAACTTGAGAGAACGGACGAGCCCAACTATTCTCTCGTTATCCGTTATTTGTATATCGGTACATTGAAACTACGCGATATATATTATGCACGACTCCTGTATGGCATATAATGAGAATTATCCTTCGGGATATACATTCTGTTATTTTGCTATTACTTCATGTACACATTCGTCATTCGTGCATTTATTATGCGAAATGACATTAAAATGTGATGTAAGAATTGGCTCATCGTTTGCAGATCGGGGTGATGAGCTC